CTAACGTCTGTGGGGAACTGAACTGACCTAACCTTACTGAAGGACGTTGAAGGATGTGACTACCTCTACGTATGGGCAAGTACATGCAATCTCAGGTGGTACCAATCAAGAATTATCCAAAATAGGCCAGCAGAGTAAGCTTGAGTATAACAGCTGACACAAACTGAAACACTGCTGTTTACTAAAAGTAGGATGCTGTGTGACAACTGTAGCTTTAATTTCAGATAAATAGAGCTTAACATATACTATAGATTCATAGTCATTAGCAGGTTACTTGCGATGTATGCATTCTGATTTTTTTTTCTAAATAACTTTAGCTAATTCTACGTGAATTCACATGTTCTTTTGGGTCTCAATTTCTTGTTTCATCAGCCTGTCCAAATATTTTTTAAAATCCCAAGGCCAGGAGCTCTGAGAATAAAACTATTACTGAAGAAATTGTGGTAGGAAACTTACATGTATGGATACAAGTGACTCTGAAAAGTACAAAAACAAATTTAAAAAAATAAAATAAGCAATAATCAAGTGGCAAAGGAGTTGAAAGGACAAGCACATAAAATTGATGGGAGAAGAGCTCTAGGCTAACAGTCAGACACTAATGTTATGTGAAGTTATCACAGATCAGAGAGGGCTCACCCAGCTCGTCTGAGTCAGAGTGTTCATGCTGAGATGTGGAAGGATCCTGAACAATCCCTTATTGACTCTTTCCCTTCATGTTGGGCTCCCATATCCCAAAATGACATTAAATTTCCTAAAACTCTATTCCATTCAAGTCCAGGTAAACAATCTTAAAAGCTTCAAGCCACCTCCACCCGTCCAGACACATGGCCAGTGCTCTGACCTTTCAACCAGAAGAATTTTGGATCAGATCCTTTTTTTCTTTTTCTATAAAGCTCACTTTTTGGACATGATGAAATTTGAATGAAGTTTATAGATTAATATTAGTATTGTACTCAATGCTAAGTACCTTACTTTGATCATCGTACCATGATCATGGGAGAGAATGTCCTTGTTATTCTAAAGTATAGGAGCCTTCACATCTGCCACTTTCATTCTTTCTGGGAAAAAAGAAGCTTGTGTGTGTGTGTTTACATACACATGTACACATATGTATGTATATACATACATATATACACCCTCACACACATATACACACATATGGAGACTGATAATGCAAATGTGAAAAAATGTTAACATTTGGGGAATCTGGTTGAAGGTATACAGGGATTTTTCATCGTATTCGTTCCATTTCTTTGTAAGTCTAAAATGATTTCAAAATAAAAGGTTAAATTTAAGGAGAAACCAAGAAGAAATTAATAAGGGAAAAGCACAAAGGGAAAATATACAGATGGCTCCATGGTTGCTAGACCAGGGACACAAATCAAAGACAGACCTGAAAATAATATTAGGGACAGCCTGAGGGGTCCCTGAATGATACACTGAACAGCAGGGAGAAGGCATGACCTCTTGGAGAAATCCTATAAGATGTAAATACAGGCCCACATGACAAGCAGAGAAGCTGGCAATCTTATCTGAGCACATCAGAAAGGAATGTGTGACAGAAATTTAGAACAAATGAGACCACGAAATGAAAAGGGACAAAGGAAAGCTGTAGAAAGAAGAGTCCCCCTGGAGCTTAGGCCACCTTCGTGGGGATATGGCCAGTGAAGTCACACAGGGCCCCACGCTCTGAAGGGGTTCCTAGGCTTGGGGTTTAATGCTCTGTGTCACCATCTTGAAATCAATAATTTTTTTTCCCTTCTTCTTCTCCCCTAAGTGCCCCCGGTACCTAGTTGTATATTCTAGTCATAGGTCCTTCTGGTTGTGCTACGTGGGATGCTGCCTCAGCATGGCCTGATGAGTGGTGCCATGTCGGCGCCCAGGATCCGAACTGGAGAAACCCTGGGCTGCTGAAGCGGAGTGCAAGAACTTAACCATTCAGCCACAGACCAGCCGGAAATCATTAATAATTTTATCCTCAAAATATATAAATTTTACATATTTTCTATTATGTAATAGATTAGCTTATATAGATTATATAATATGGATTTCTTTATTTTTATAAAATGTAACTTTATTAACTGGATAAGAAATGTTAAAATATTAAATACTTTACCACATTTCTTGGAGAAATCCTTATTTGGCCACATTGTTTACTTTTTAGAATATTCTGCTTCATAATATCCATTCATTTTTTAAATTCCTTTCCATATAGTTCAGCAATTCCACTTCTGAATATATATCCAAAAAATTTGAAAACAGTTTCTCAAACACATATTTGTACACCCATGTTCACAGCAGCACTATTCACAATAGCCCAAAGATGAAAACAACCCAGTGTCCACTGATGGATGAATGGATGAATCAAACGTGCTATGTGCGTACGAAGGACTGTTACTCAGCCTCAGCTGAGGCACCTTGTGTTGGTTTGTGCATTTACTGGTTAAGTGAATTTGGGCCACTTGGTTGAGGTGGAGCTGGCCAGCTTCCTCCACTGCAAAATTACCACTTTTCTTTTGTAGTTAATAAGTAATCTGTGAGGCGAGTCTTTGAGGCGAGAGAATGTATATCTTATTCTTCCTTACTTAAAGCTTTTAACATCATATTTGGGTTCTGGACCCAATTCCAATGTGTGGAGGGAGCGGTTTTTCCCCCGCACCACCAAACAATACTCAGGATACCAGCTGGGTGTCCTACAATTCCACCTAATTCTGACACTGTCTACCTGGAGACAACGTCAGATTCCACAGGTAAAGGGCTCAGTACTAAGTCTGCCCTCCCCTGATGCCAATCTCAGCTCCAGGTGGTTATCTGTGCTTCTTACTGACTGGCTATTAGTCAGAGATTCCTCTGACGCCCTCCTTGGGTTCAATTAATTTGCTAGAGCATCTCACAGAACTCAGGAAACCTGTTTATTCACTAGATTATCCATTTATAACAAAGGATATGAATCAACAGCCAGATGAAGAGATACATAGGGCAAGGTATTGAAACCGAGAGCCAACTTGCTTTAACTATGCTCAGTTAGTTGTCTGTTTGCAACAGTAGTTAGATAATCCATTACTAAAGTCCACTCTGTAGATGACATCTCTGACGCATGGGTCACCATGGTAATGGGTGCTTAAGTCTTTCAGGAACTGAGAGTTGACTACTTGTTCAGTTCAGGCCAATTGAGACCACTGATTCATTAACTAGGCCTGCACGAATGCCTGATAGGTGACCTTTTGATGTCAGGAGGCCGAAAACTCCACCTCACTTCTTCTTACCTCCAATCATGTATCCCCACACTTCAGATCATCCTACCCCCTTATGCCATAAATATCCCTAATCCCCATTTTCAGGGAGGCACATCTGAGACTTGTTCTCCCCTCTCCTTTCTTGGCTGCCTCATGAATTGAACTCATTCTTTGCTGCAAAACTTGCCATCTCAGTGATTGGCCTACTGTTTGGCAGGCAAAACGACCCTGGTTCAGTAACAGTGTGTGGGAAGGGGCACGGAGATTCCATGCCCTCTCCAGGTGCACCACTCCCCTCCTTGAACCTCCATGTGTTCACCAACCCAGAACCTCTCTGAACACCATCCTTTGGGTCTTTATGGAAGCTTCATTATGAAGGCATGATTGGTTAAATCATGGGCCATTGGCAGATGAATTCAACCTCCAGCACCTCTCCTCTTCCCAGAGGTCACAGGTGTGGGACTGAAAGTTCCAATCCTCTAATCAGATAGTTGGTTCTCCTGGCAACCAGCCCCCATCCTTAGATAAGGTCCAAAAGTCACCTCATTAACATAACAGGAGATACCTTTATTGTCTTCTTCACAGGAAATTCCAAGGGTTTTAGGAACTCAGTGCCAGAAATGGGGATGAAGACCAAATATATATTTATTATAAATCACAATATCACACATCCATTGATGATTTTTGCCTGAATCAGTCATTACTATGATGACTGAAAAATGATATTGATAAGTACATTTTCATTGTCCTTGAGATCTGCTGAATTCTGGAGCCAGGCTCAGTCAGTAGGGCTGTGTGGTGCCTGGTATCTGTCTCTGCCCCCTGAAGTCCTGTTTACCATCTCCAGAAGGCTCAGGTTCTGAGAAGCTGAAAGAATGTTTAGAAGGGTATGTTCCAGGGCCATCCCTGTGGCCAAGTGGTTAAGTTCGCGTGCTCCATTTTGGCAGCCCAGGGTTTCACTGGTTGGGATCCTGGGCACAGACATGGTACTGCTCATCAAGCCATGCTGAGGTGGCATCCCACGTAGCACAACCAGAAGGACCTACAACTGGAATATACAGCTACAACTACAAAAGGGGGCTTTGGGGAGAAGAAGAAGAAAAAAAAGAAGATTGGCAACAGATGTCAGCTCAGGTGCCAATCTTTAAAAGAAAAACAACAAAAGAGTATGTTCCCAGGAAGAGTGAGAGATCTGGAGCCCAGGCTGATGACATCAAACACACTGAATTTGTCTCTCTATCCACCTTGTTCTGGCTCCAGAGGAATAAGACTGTCACTAGTGAGATCGGTGCCATTTTGTGTAGTTTCTATACCTAAGGAGGACAGATAAGGGGAAAGAAAAATTGAAGAAGCCAGTTTATATACAAAAACATGGGAGTCAAGTCTATCCCACCTTTCCAGTCCAGTATGGAACTTACTACCTCCTGGGAAAGCCATGCATTAGCCGGGCCCTGGCAGAACACACCTGAGCATGCATCCCTCCGTTAACTCAGTCATGCCCTGCACAAAACTATTGATTCTTTACCAGGCACTGGGAAGACATTGGTCAGCAAAATTCACATTCTAACGGGGTTTCTAGGCTCTGGCTGGAAAAGTGGACAGCGGAATTCCTGGGGAGCGCAATGAGGCACTTGAGTGGGAATATCTGTCCCCTCCCAAGAGGAAGCTGGAGTTGAGTCCACCGTGTGGGTGCGCTGGGCTCTCAGGAGGCTCCGCCTATGAGCCAAATTGGGAACAATAGGTTGATGACCTTGAACTCTCACCTCAGAGATCTTGTCCCTGGTCTTGTCTCTGTTCTAAGGCCTCATCAGGTTCTCTTTTTCTCTGGACGTGGCATCTAGATCTTCGATTTTGAAACCAAATCTGAGTGGGTAAAACACAGATTTGGTTAAAACAACTGATGTCACACAAGCCTCACCCTTGCTTTTTTCATAAGGCAAAGGGGAGGGAGAAGTGGTTCATTTTAGGCCTGATTCCAAAATCACTGACATTTCACATGATATCTAGGCCAGTCTGTAGGTCTGAAGATAAAGCTCAAAATTCTGAACCTCACACCTGGTACCTTTGTGACCTATTGTCCGGTTTCACATCCCGAAAGTCCCCAGAATCCGCTCTTACAAGGGCTGGTCTTTCCCTAAAGCGTCACCCCTGGTACCACAGCTCTTCTCTCTGCCTGCAATTCTCTTTCTACCTTCTTTTCTTCATCTCAAAAACCCCTATTTTTCTCCTGTGACAGAGTATTATCTGTCTAAGGAGGCATTTTTCATCCCACAGGACATAATTAATTGCTACCCCTTGCTTGTGCCCATAAATTATACACATTTATGTGTATTAGAAATATATGATATATACTCATATATAATATGATTTACAATAATATAACTTTAGTCACTTATTTATATATCACACTCACACACACCCCTCATCTCCACAGCTACTACTACTTTTGCTTTTCCCAGAGGTGCAAGTAAAATAGGCACAGGTCTGGAGTCCAAAAACCAGACTTTGGAAGTCACATAATATCACTGAAACTTTCACTTCCTTTCTGCAGGCAAACGCCACTCTCCAGACAAACGATTGATTGTTTTGGAAGAGCTGCACGTGTGTAGCCCTGGATATAGTTTCTATACCTGAACCAGAAATCCCTTTTTCCATCTGACCTGCTTATGATATCTGAGAATTAGTCCCCTGCTGGGGAAGTCTTGCAGAGATTTCTTATTATTTATGCACCTACCAATATCTTGATTTTACAAGGAAAAGATATATTCAGCTTTGAATTCTGAGGAGAAAACTAGCCCCAAGGATATGGGGTCAGCTATACTAGGATGTGACTACCTTCATATTTGACCACTGACTTCTGGTTTTTTCTCTTCCAACTCACACTTCTTCTTTCAGAATCAAACCAAACAACTTACTCAAGAGTCAGTCTGCCATTTATTTTATTTTTTTAAAGATTTTATTTTTTTTCCTTTTTCTTCCCAAAGCCCCTCAGTACATAGTTGCATATTCTTAGTTGTGGGTCCTTCCAATTGTGGCATATGGGACGCCCCCTCAGTGTGGTCTGATGAGCAGTGCCACATCCGTGCCCAGGATTCAAACCGGTGAAAGCCTGGGCCGCCGCAGTGGGGTGCGCGAGCTTCCTCACTGGGCCACGGGGCCGGCCCCGGTCTGCCGGTCTGTGGCACATTCTCTCCTTCCCCACCCTCTCCCCAGAGCTTTGGAGTCTCATCAAAGCTGCCTCTTAAACGTCTATTCTGGATGGCTCAGGTGGATGCCTCTGACCCCACGGAACTCCTTTTATTCTCCTAGAACGGTCCTCCTCCTGGATGACACCAATGTCGGCCATCCATCCAAGCTAAAACTAGCATATCTTCCTGGTAGTCTCGTCTCTCTCTCTCCACCATCCCTCTCCTCCACGCGCCATCCCTATATGTGCTATCAATCTATGTTCACGTTGTTTCTTAAACAGAACTCTTTTCCAAGCCTCATCTTCCTCCTTACGACTTTTCACCTATGTCTAAATTATTTCCTGTCTCCCGAATGGAATCCATTCTTCACTGGGGAGGAAGAGCAGCGATTTTAAAGCGTAACAACAGCGCGATCTCTCCTCTGCTTAAACTCTTTCAGCATGTGTCCACCACCCAAAGGACAAAGCATAAACTCCTCTAGTGAGCATTTTCCATGTGTCTAATCCACTTCAAGACCTCTGCTCACTGTTTGGCACACAGGGATTAATCAGACAGGAGCCCCATCTCACAGCTCACAGGCTAATGGACGGTGGTGTAGACACAACCTGATAATAAGATCTTCAATCAATGGGCCACAACAACTGCTCCAGACTGGAGGCCTCCATCAGCACCCCTGTGTCACCCTAGTTCTCAAGCCTATAGACAAACGCACAATTTCCTGCAAGCCTCGGGCCTGCTCTTAGGACTGCAGTCTGCCACAATGCTGCCTGCATTAACCCCCTCTATTCCAGTCTCCCCCAGGGAATTTCTATTGGTTGTGCAAGCCCCAGCTCAAGTTTTCCTCTGTGAAACTATTTCTGACTGAGTATATCTGCTTCCCCATTTACACCAGACACATCCACCCATTCACTCCTATTTGTCCAGGAGGTGACTGCTGTGTGACAGACAGTCACACCATAAAAATTGTCGGTTTCTTTGCCTACCTCCCTCGTTATTTTCTGAGCTACTTCTGTTCCTCTCTGTGAATACATCCCTCCGTGGTACAGTTCCTAGCACATAGTAGGTGCTCGGTCTGAACGTAAAATGAAAGAGGCAGAGAAAGAAGAGAGGAGAGGGGAGGGGTGAGGTGTGACAGTCCTGCTGCTGCACATTAGATTCCTGGTGACAGAGGGAGCACTGGTTCACCACACACACTGACAGCACAGCACTCGGACAGAATTACACTCCATTTTAGGATTCATCAGGTCCTGTATTTCTCTGAGTTAAAAGTTAAATCTCGGGGCCAGCCCCTGGCCAAGTGGTTAAGTTCACGCACTCCACTTCGGCGGCCCAGGGTTTCGCTGGTTCGGATCCTTGGCGCCGACATGGCATGGCTCATCAGGCCATGTTGAGGCGGCATCCCACATGGCACAACCAGAAGGATCACAACTAGAATATACAACTATGTACTGGGGGGCTTTGGGGAGAAGAAGAAAAAAAAAGAATAAGATTGGCAAGAGATGTTAGCTCAGGGCCAATCTTTAAAAAAGAAAATGTCAAATCTCTAAAGTGGACATAATTCCAATCTCATGGGAGAGTCAGAAAAGCTAAAGGATATGATAGATATAAAGACGTTAGACAAATGTCTGGCCATATTCAATGTAAAGTAATATTCCTTCTTTCATTCATTCAACAGATTTTTATTAAGTGTCATGTGTCAGGCACTGTTCAGAACACAAGGAATACGACATTGATTATGACAGAAAAGAACTGAAGGAGGTGTAAGAGAGCAGGCCACGTGGTACCTGGGGGCAGAAGAACCTACCAGACAGAGAGAGAAGGCGCTGGAAGGGGAATGTGCCGGCCTGTTGATGAACAGCTCAAGGCTGGCATGGCTTCCGTTCCATCCAGCACTTAGATTTGCTTTCAGGATCGAAGAGCTAGGCACCAATTCCAGAAAAGATCAGAACCCGAGGAGGACTTAGAATCTCCACCCCTGGAGGATGGAACAAATTCCTCATCACTTACTTGGATTCTCGACTCTGGAACTCCAATTTCGATAGCAAGTTGCTGTCTGGAATCAATCCCAGGATATGGATTGTTCATAAATGCTTCGATGAGGGTGTGTAATTGGGAGGAAGTGTAGCTGGTACGGCACCGTCTGTCTCCTCTACCTAGGGCAGGTGGAAGATGGAGGGTCAAGTACATTTCGGAGACCAGTTTACATATTCAAACAAGGAACCCAAACATGTCGGACAGTCTCCACTGAGTTTGGGACCTGTTACTTCTGCTTGAAAGGGCCTTGTCTCAGCCCATTCCAGGTGGAATGTTCTAGAGGAGAAACAGTATATGGCTGGGTTGCTGGATTCCTATGGAAAGAGGGTATGCAGTGGAAGGTCTCAGAAGGTCCATGGACCATGCAGGGAAAATTTCCAGGGGCCATGTTGAACCCTTTGCCACCAGAAGACCCTGAACAGGAGCCCCTGAGGGAGAGAACTTTCTTTTCCCACTCAGAGTAGTAGTGGGTTCCACAGTAGAGGCTCCTGGGTACTCAAAATCTCTGCGGGGGGACAGGACTGGAGCAGACCATTTACTTTGAATCTTTTCTTCAGGGTGATCTTCATCTTGGCTTGATTCTAAGTGCTCCTCAGGTTCTGATCTTTTCTGGAATCGGTGTCTAGCTCTTCGATTCTGAAACCAAATCTAAGTGATGAAAAGGAAATGAGGGAATTAAACATGTTCGTGTCATCTCAGCCTCATCACTGCCTTTCTCCAAAGGGAGTGATTCTTATTAGGCCTGAGCTCAAGTTTATTGCTATTATCTGTCACATTCAGCTAAGTCTTAGGTCAAGTCTTAGCATTTGGCACCTCTACAATCTAATCCCAACATGATTTGCTATAATTTTTTTTTCCTAAGTAAGATTTTCCCTGAACTAACATCCATTGCCAATCCTCTTTTTTTGCTTGAGGAAGATTAGCCCTCTATTTTTTTGTATGAGGGACACCTCCACAGCTTGACTGGTGAGTGGAGTAGGTCCACGCCCAGGATCCAAATCCGCAAACCTGGGCCACTGAAGCAGAGCATGTAGAATTTTAACCACTCAGCCATGGGGCCTGGCCCTATAATAATTTTTTTAAGTTAACAAATAGATGCTGCAAATTATGCATTTGAGAGCCAGCTCAAGCATTTCCTCTTCTCTGAAGGTGTACCTACATACTTCCTCCCGACTCTTTCCAGCTCTTTTATCCTCAGCATCCACATTTGTGAAATAAAAGCAACATCCTTATGAGTTCATTCTGAACGTCAATCAGGATGCTCCACACAAAGCCCTTAGCACCCTGGCGCATAGTATGTACTTAATTAATGGTTTCCCTTTCTACATCTAGGCTTGGAGATGTACACTTTGTAAATTACCTGGATTCTAGACTCTTCAGTGTTGATTTCTAAAGCAAGTCTTTGTTTGGTAGCATAACTCGGGTAAGGTTTTTGGTTGAATGCATTGATGAGGATTTTCAATTGATCTTCTGTGAATTTGGTGCGGCTGCGTCTACGATTTGCGGCTGTGGTGTCTGTGGAAAGATTAGGAGAAAAGCATTATTTAACAGGTCAGTTTATACATTCAAACTTCAGGTTCAAGCTAGTCTCTCATTTCCTTTTTTTGTTTGGAATCCACCAGAACCCACTAGGAAAGAGCTCGCCCACAATTATAAAGCCCTTAGACACACGAGGGTGATTCTTCATCTTCTCCAGCCGATCTGAACGCTGTGACTGGGGAGTCAGGTCTTCTGTTTTCAAAAACAGTGAAAAAATGATGTGTTCTGTTCATATGGATCAAGAACAATATGAGTCAAGAAAATGCATGTGATACATCTTACAGTGATGAATACTTGAGCCCACAGAAATGAGGAGCACGTGATACAGGTGCCATTAAGCCTCTTTTAGTTTTTCTGGTGAAAATTCCTAGGAAGATATTAATTCATTTTGGAATCCATTGCCCTCAACAGCAGATAAACAGAAATCAGTTTCCAAAATATTTTTTAAAACACTATGAGGAGAACAAAAACAATTGAAAAAGAAATTCTATGCTTTCAGTAGAATCTTCAAATAGGGAATAAATACTTCCTTACATGATTTTAGCTATGGGACACCTCCTTGAAATAGCCAAATCTGGAAAGCCTGGGCATTCATTTTGGAACGTACGATTTTCAAACAGAATTAGACTTAGTGACCTGAGGTGAGAAGTTACTGGGGATGCTGGCGGTTCAGTTGGGAGCACAACACCTGTATTCATAGGAAGAGAGATTCCAAGGCACTGAGTTCCTTTGATTGGCACCTCATGGGGAAGAACAAGTTGAATCTTCCTTCTTTTCTATCTCCGGTACAGTTGTGCAATATTTATGAGGTCACTCTCCAAAAAGTCCAAACTCCACATTTAAGCAAAAGGAGAATCCAGTAAACTCCAACTGTGGCTACGCACTACATTCCTTCAGCAAAATAAAGAATTCATTTGGATTTCCAGTCCACGAGGATGCTTTTCTGTTCGTCCCTCCTGAAAGCCTAAATCTGCAGCTGCATGCCAGTCCACTACCCGCTGGTGTGTTGTACTTCAGTGACAGGGGACGGTGAACTTGAACATCACCCAGAAGTCCTCTTGAATCTTACCACGTCTGTCAGGTCGTTGCCTGTCTTTGACCTCATCACCTATAATGACCTACTTGGCTTTACACCCTGAAAGTGTGTGCTCCAGCCACCACACCTGACTTGTTTCTGTCTCCCAACCTGCCCAACTCCTTCCTGCTCCCTAGCTTGGCACTGGTCCTCTCTCTTCCTGCAGTGCTCTTCCCAGGATGATGGACTAGCTCGCTCCTGTGCGTCACTCAGGCCTCAGCGCAAGCATCTTCTCAGAGTCAGGTCTGAGGAGACGCTGCCCCGCCGGTCTAAGGTCGCCCACACTCCATGCCACACTCTCACTTTCCCCTGTCTTGTTTCCTTCATAGATCTTATCTCCATTGGAAATAATTTTCAATGCGTTTACTTATTTCTGTTTTCCCCTCTGGAAGAAGCACCACAAGACTCTCTCGTCTGTTTTCTTCACTCTGGAATTCCTAGTGATTAGGATTGGGACTAGCTACATAATTTGTGGGGACCAGTGCAAAAATTCCAATAAAAATGCCAAGCAAAAAAAATTGTTAAAAATTCAAAAAATTGTTAAAAATTTCAAGACAGCGAGAGCAGAGCATTAAACCAAGCCCAGGGCCCTCTAAGCCTAGGGCCCTGTACTCTTGTGGCTGACACTAATCTACTCCACAAACATATGTTGAAAGTTTGAATTATTGAGTAAATCTCTGGCAGAAAAGGATACAAAAAAACAAAAACCCCAAAACATTGTGAAATAACTTCCCCTACTCCAAACCAATCAAAATTTAATCAGAAACTCAGAAATGACGGCTTGGAGAGAAGTTCCAAATAGTCTGTGATGGAATTTTTTTTGATGGACTTTTCCTGATAGCAAAGGCATTTGCTCTGGGTTTGGCCTTAGGTTGAAAAGGCTCACAGGAACCCACCCGTCTCATACCTTCACCTACATTATTCTCAGCTCACAGGTCCTTGACTGGATCCACTCTTAGAAGGAAAATTCCTACAGAGTAAAAAAGTTTAAAGGGAATCTTAAGCCCTGAAGTAGATATATAAGGACTTTTAACTAACCCACACCAACTCCCTAGGACATGGGGGAGGGGATAAGGAAATTAGGGCTTCCTGAGACACTGGCAGGCTGAGGCTGGGCACAGAGAAGGAGGAGGAGACGCAAAAGAACTAAAGAAAGATGAAACATAAGGAAGGAAGCAAAGAGAGAAAAACTGAGAAAGATCTCTGTCTTCAATCCAGGATCTATGTTTTAGCTCAATAAGCCAAAGTCGCATGAGAGCAGCAAAATACAGTTCATCTCTGGCTCCAGGGCACAGAGCTTGGCACAGCTTGGTAATTCCCCTCCTCAGTCCATACCCTAGATGAACTGACCGATGTGGGTGTGGATAATGCAAATAGATCTTCACTGCCATAGGGTTGGCGGCAGTGAACATTTTAAATGTCCATCACCAGGGAACTGCAATTTCCAAACAAAAATACCAAAAAGATCTTTCAAGTAAACGTTATGTTAGAATGTTTTTAGATTTACAGAGAAGTTACAAAGATAGTATGGGGACTTCTCATATATTCCACATCCCTATTTTCCGCTATTATTAACATCTTAGTACGGTGCATTTGTCACAACTAATGAATCAATATTCGTACATTGTTAGTAACTAAAGTCCATACTTTATTCAGTTTTTTAAGTTTTTATCTGATACGCTTTTTCTGTTCTAGGATCCTACCCAGGGCACCATATTACATTTGGGGTCACATCTCCTTGGGCTCCTTTTGGCTCTGACAGTCTCTCAGACTTTGACAAGCTTGACGGTTTTGAGGAGGACTCGGCAGGAAATTTGTAGAACTTCACTGGGGTTGATCTGATGTTTTTCTCATGATTAGACTGGGGTATGTTTTTGGCAGAGGAACCCAATAGGATTCTGAGGGCAACCTAAAATGGGACAGGGAGAGTAAGGCTCACAAAGTGGATCAGATATTTTGTTAAAGAAGGATCAGGACGATAGATTTACTCATCCAGATAAAACAATAGAGCAGTAAAAAAAAAAACCTTTTTTCCTGGGGTACTGATGCAGAAACAGAAACAGACACACGGAACTCAATAGAAAGCGAAGAAACAGGCCTTGTTTACGTGAGGGCTGGGATAGCAATAGCCTCCAAAATCAGTGAGAAATGGTAGTGTTGGGCAAAGAAAACGGCTGACTATATGAAGAAAGCTGAAGTTGGCTCACACAATACACAGTATATAAAATAAATACCAAACAAACCAAAAATGGACGAAAGATAAAAATAAATGAAAGATAATGCACAAGAAAACCTATGTCACATCGAGATAGAAAAGAGTTCCTTAAATAAGACACCAAAATGCACAATGGGAAAAATTGCTGGAACTAAAAACATCATAATAGAAACCTTCAGTCGGAACGTTAGAAAATCAGATAAAAGTCAGATGCTTGCAATGATGGGGGTGAGGTAGGGAGATGGAAACACTTCTGAAGAGCTGGTTGGAATGTAGTTTATTCTGGATAATCTGTAGGACAATCAGGCTACGCTTGTTAAAATTATGTATAGTAGGGCCAGCCTGGTGGCACAGTGGTTAAGTGTGCACATTCTGCTTCCGTGGCCCAGGGTTCGCTGGTTCGGATCCTGTGCGGACATGGCACTGCTTGTCAAGCCATGCTGGCACAGGCATCCCACATATAAAAGTGGAGGAAGATGGGCACAGATGTTAGCTCAGGGCCAGTCTTCCTCAGCAAAAAAGAGGAGGTTTGGCAGCAGATGTTAGCTCAGGGATAATCTTCCTCAAAAAAAAAAAAATTATGTATAGTAAGTAATTATAACACTGCAATCGTTTCTCGCCCAGCAATCCATGACATGCTCTTCGGAATGCTGTTTGTAGTAACAATGGGAGCAACCTCAAGGCCATCGCTAGAGAACGGATAAGTAAAATGTGGCATATGCCCATGATGGAATCGTATATGTAAGACTAAAATAATGAGGGAAAAATGATAGAAGCAAGATAGAAAGGTCTCAAAAAGACAGCATTAGGTCAAGAAAGGAAGAAGTAGAACGTGGTATATATAGTGTAATATTATTTCTGTAAATTAAAAATGTATATATAGTGTAATAGCATTTCTGTAAATTAAATTAATCATCTGTAATTAATCATAAAATTAATCAAACTGTACACTTAAGGTTTGTGCATTTTACTGCATGTAGTTATACCTCGATAAAAAATTAGAAGAAAGCAAGTTATTCAATAAATATCAATTAATCTAAATTAAACACTTTATACAAAACAATTCTGTGAATTTATGAAGGAGACCCACATATCTGAATAGACACATATATCTAAAGGACAGGTAATACCCTGGAATAGATGGGTGCTTGTGGCCGAGGTGGGGAAGGAACAGGAGTGGTTAAGGAAATGGAGTGGATAAAGATAAAACCTGTATAAAAGCGAGAGGCCTTGTTCAGATCTATATTAAAACATCAGACTTGAGGAATATAATTAACTCAACTCTGTGTGACTGAGGATCAGATCATAGCAAGAAAAAAAACTTGAAAATTGTTTCAATACTTTTTTCTCCAGAAAATATCCCCAGATCACTCATTCTCAATCATTTTGGCCTCAAGACCCACTTACACTCCTAAAATTTAATGAGTACCCAAAGAGCTTTTGTTTTACTTTTTCTTTTTTTTTTTAATGGTAGAAATCCAATGATTGTAGAGCACAGGAGTGATTTTTTTCTTTTCTTTCTTTCTCTCTCTCTCTCTCTTTTTTTTTTTTGCTGAGGAAGATTAGCCCTGAGCTAACATCTGTGCCCGTCTTCCTCCACTTTATATGTGGGCTGCCGCTACACCACAGCATGGCTGATGAGTGGCATAGGTCCATACCTGAGATCTGAACCTATGAACCTGGGCCGCCAAAGTGGAGGTCACCAAACTGACCACTATGCCACAGAGCTGGCCCTTGTTTCACCTTATTAGATATTAAAAGCGAGAACATTTATTAATCCATTTAAAAATGTTAATAAACAATTACATTCTAACAATAATAACATTTTATAAAAAATGACTACTTTCTGAAACAAAAGCGATTACTGAGAGAAGAGGCATGTTTCACATTTCTGGGAATCTCCTTGCTGTCTAGCTTAAGAGGAGGGAGCTGGACTTTTCTCTCTGCTCCTGCATTTGATCTTTGGGTTGCAGAATATGAAGCCAAGCAGTCGCAGGCAGACATGCAGGTCGAAGGAGTTCTGTCTCTCCAGCCTTTCAGATAATGGCGGCTATTCTCCTTTGAAAGTCTACTAACAATAAGTTTCTGAAACTTTCTTAAATTAAATGTTAGTTGCCGCATGGAGTCTGAAACTATTTCAATGAACTTTCTCATGCTGTGTTATATTAAATGCATTTGTTTGTCTTGCATTTTTTTTGCTTTTTAAAAAAATTTTTTAAGGAGTTAATTTAATTTTTTTTTTAATTTTTCCTTCTCCCCAAAGGCCCCCAGTACATAGTTGTATATTTTAGTTGTGGGTCCTTCCAGTTGTGGCATGTGGGACGCCACCTCAGCATGGCCTGAGGAGACCAGGATTTGAACCGGGGAAACCCTGGGCCGCCAAAGCGAAGTGCACGAACTCAACCACTCAGCCATGGGGCTGGCCCCTTGTCTTGCATTTTTAATAGATCTTTTATCCATACATGATTTTGTAGCCTCTTGTATAGATGATTTAAAATAATAGTTTACTGAATTCTGAAAATCTTCCAAAAATTGACATTTTATAAAATCTACCCACAGGCCTACCAGGTAAGTCCTGGTAGGATGAACTAGAAAATTTTCATCTAATTTCAATTGTTCAAAAAAATATTTCTAGAGCATCTTTCAAAAGCCAAACCCCTGGGGCCAGCCTGGTGGTGCAGCAGTTAATTTCGCATGTTCTGCTCCGGCGGCCCAGGGTTCACCAGTTCAGATCCCAGGTGCACACCTACCCAGGTGCAGACCTACACACCTCTCATCAAGCCATGCTGTGGCAGGAAACCCACATATAAAGTAGAGGAAGATGGGCATGGATGTTAGCTCAGGGCCAGTCTTCCTCAGCAAAAAGAGGAGAGTTGGTGGCAGATGTTAGTTCAGGGCCAGTCTTCCTCAAAAAAAAAAAGGGGGGGGGGGCCAGCCCGGTGGCACAGCCGTTAAGTGCGCACATTCTGCTTCTCGGTGGCCCGGGGTTCACCGGTTTGGATCCTGGGTGCGGACATGGCACTGTTTGGCAAAAGCCATGCTGTGGTAGGCATCCCACATATAAAGTAGAAGAAGATGGGCACGGATGTTAGCTCAGGGCCAGCCTTCCTCAGCAAAAAGTAGAGGATTGGCAGTAGTTAGCTCAGGGCTAATCTTCCAAAAAAAAAAGCTAGACTCTATTCTAGGCACTGCAAACAAAATCAATGAGATATCCTCGAACTCATGGGAAGCCAGGAGAAGAAAAGCAAACAAGTGTAATACATTGTATGTCAGATGGTGACTATTTCTGTAGCAAAAAAGAAAGAAGGAGGGAAAGTAGAGAATGCACAGGGTGAAGTCACAATTTTAAAGTGAAGTCGTCAGGAAGACCTCACTGACAAAATGGCTTGAGCAAGGACGGGAAGCAGATTAGAGAGGGAGCAATGCTGACGTTTGGGAGAGGAAGGTTACAGGAACTAAGGATAGCAAATGGGAGCCTACTAGGCCTGCTCAAGATGCAGCCAGAAGGCTACAAAGTCTGGAGAAGAAGGAACAAAGCAGAAGCAGATGAGGTCCTAGACCTTGGGGCAGGGGGAGGTTACTGAGGGCCTGACAGGGCCATGGGCCCTTTACTGTGAGTACTGTGGGCAATCACTGAGGGGTTTTGAGTAGATAAAAGACATGATGTGACAGTTTACTGAGATCACACAGTGTCCGAAACAGACTGAATCGGGACGAGGCTGAGGCGGAGAGATCATCAGGAGCGTGCCACAATAGTCCAGAGGGGCAACAGTGGGGATAGACCAAGAAACGGTCAGATTCCTAAAATATTGGGAAGCTAAAGCCAACAGAACTTGTAGCCTGATTACATGCAGGTTATGAGAGAAAAACTGGCATCAAAGATGTTTCCTAGATTTTTGACATGAGCAACCGGCATTTCCCAAGAGAGGGGAAGCAGTTTGGGTATGAATTGGGGAGTTCAGTCCAGGACACGCTGGGTTTGAGGAGCCTGTTAGAGACAAGTAGGCAGTCAGATGGACAGATCCGAAGCTCAGGAGAAAAGTTCAGTCTGGAGAGAGAAATCTAGGAGCTACTTTGATTCCAAAGACGTGGTCTCTGAACTCTTGGATGCCTCCCATCGTTTCTTTCTTTTGGTGCGTCTCTTCCCCTCTTTCTTCTCATCTGCTCTTTCCTCCCATCCTGCTTCCTGAAGCAAGAATTTGTCTTGTTTAGTTCTTGAATGCCTGCATCTTTCTGAAATTCCCAAGGCTCGAATGCACAGAAAACAGCATATTTTCATATCACATGAGAGAAATTGGCTTTTCTGAACCCTAGTAGTTATTGAAAAGTTTGAAAACTGGAACTCCCACAACTACTGATGAGCACACTAGGTTTCTAGTCCAATTTCCTCCCCAAAGCAATGAAACCAAACCCGCAGTCAGGTGTGTGGGGAACTTACTGTTTGGAGAGACGGCCTGGGCCATGTCAGAACAGAGTCCTGAGGTCTGAGCATTCGATCAGGAGACAACCAGTGGCAGCCTGCTTTTATATGATCAGCTGGATGGTCCCTCCCATTTGTTTAATCATTACTGATGATTTTAAGGTTTCACCTTTACTAATTACATCAATTGCATCAATTCTTAGAAACACAGGCCCTCTTAATCCATGAAGGGCTAGATAGGACTTTTTTTCCTACCATTAATAGAGATTTAATAATTTATACCAACCTTTACACCTAAACCATCACAGGAGCGTCTTTGAGTATGATTGCGTTTACATGTCTTTTTGTGTGTGTGTGAGGAAGATTGGCCCTGAGCTAACATCTGTTACCAGTCTTCCTCCATTTTGTATGTGAGATGCTGCCACAGCATTGCTTGACAACGCACAGTGTGTAGGTCCACACCCGGGATCTGAACCCATGAACCCCAGGCTACCCAAGTGGAGCACACCAACTTAACCACTATGCCACCAGTCGGCCCCTAGACATCTTTTTTTTCAATGTTTATTACATACATATGTATTCTTTTTTAAATTGCTTTTTCATGCTCTTCGCTTATCTTTCCATGGGGTGGCCTTTTCTAATGAAATTAAAAGGGTTTTTAACATTTGTATCAGGATTAGGGTGAGGCAAGTGAGGCTCTCTCCTGGGATCAGTACTTCAGGAGGTGCTAAAAATTCTGTCATGAAGATAAATAATATTTGAATGCAATACTTAAAAAAGCAAAAATTAATTGCAAAAAGTCCATGTTTACAAAATATAAAAATAGTAAATAAAAACAGGATCTTACCCTGCACTGGCAGGAGTTGTGTACTCCAGGGCGCACTTGCACTGAATAAGGATCCCTCCCTTGCGATTCCTTCTCAAGGTCACCGATCAATCTGGAGGGAAGCTGACAAGTTCTTTTAATTGTTTATAGCTGTAATCCACAGTACTGTAGGATAAAAGGGAAACTTTTGTTTTATTACACAAACATGTTTGTGTGATTTAAAAAATATTTTTAGTAGTAATTAGGTGAGTAATACAAATTTTATTTATCAACATATTTGGCACTTAACAAATAAAATTTGATCAAATATCAAACATTTTCTGAACAAAATTTTTTAACCAGGAAAATAACATACTTACCAGGAAACTTTACACTTTATCCATTTAAAACAGTGATAAATTATATGTTATTCACTTTTATATATGAAATTTTTTCCCACTATTTCCATCAAATTTGTCTGGAAACCTAGAGCACAATTCTCTGCTGTTTGTATTTACCAGTGTTTCGATTTTTTTTTTTTTTGAGGAAGATTAGCCCTGAGCTAACATCCACCACCAATCCTCCCGTTTTTGCTGACGAAGATTGGCCCTGAGCTAACATCCGTGCCCATCTGCCTGTATCTTATATGTGGGATGCCACCACAGCATGACTTGATGACTGGTGTGTATGTCTACACCCAGGATCTGAACCAGCGAACCCCAGGCCGCCGAAGCAGAACACACAAACTTAACCGCTACACCATCAGGCTGGCCCCAATATTTTGCTTTTTGATACACATTTTTATATACACCTATTTGGGTGTTAAATATCATAATTTGTATGATTTAAGTTGGTGAGTATAAATTAAATATTTATATATATTAACTCCAATTACATTATTTATTTTAAAGTTCATATTTTAAATTTGTACTAAAAATTAAAAAGTGTATATGGCATCTAAAAAACCCAATTAGTGCAATGTTCAAGAAAAGAAGAAAAGTGCATGCAGAAGTGGATCGGAATTACAAACAGCATTTATAAACTTGACCAGAAAAACAGTATTCTAGCTACTTAAAATGATCAAATATCCAACGATGACATTGTTAAAGCAGAATTGTCATCAGGGGCCAGCCCCACGGCTAAGTGGTTAAGTTTGTGCGCTCCGCTGCAGCGGCCCAGGGTTTCACCAGTTTGGATCCTGGGAGCAGACATGGCACCACTCATCAGGCCATGCTGAGGTGGCGTCCCACATGCCACAACTAGAAGGACCCACAACTAAAATATACAACTATGTACTGAGGGGTTTGGGGGAGAAGAATAAAAAGAAAAAGAAAAAGAAAATCAGTAACAGGTGTTGGCTGAGGTGCCAATCTTTAAAAAAAAATTGTCATTAAATTCAGCGTTAACTAAAGAATATTTTTCTTTTTTCTCTTCCTCCTCCTCCACTCCCTCCTTCCCCCGCTCTTCACCAGAGTTTCTTGAGGGTCCGCCCCATGCCAGACCCTGTGCTTTAAAGGATCTTCTTCTCATGTGGGGAAAATAATGAAGAAAGGGAAATGCTAAAATTTCAGAAACTAGTGAACACGTGTCTGAGTAAGAAAGTAAGAAGACACTGTTTGAAATAAATTTTAATAATGTTCCTTTTGAGCTTCCAATTTCCAATAATATTTAAATGATTTGAGCAGAAACGTATCTGACCCAGGACCAGAGGCAGATTTTTAGAGAATCTACTTTTCATGATGGTCAACAATGTTCAAAAGACCAGGGTTTTTTAAAAATGTTCTAATGAGAAGCTGCTTCATCATCACTGCTCATTCATTCCAAGGAATTCTTGTCTTTCTTTCGTTTTCCATTTGCAGCTCAAATGCATCATTTCTAGAGAGTGAGATCGTAAGTACTCCCCCCACACTTTATTTTTTAACTCTGGTTTAGTTTAATTTCCTGATTTTTCTACAGTAATACATATCACTTCTGTCAATAAAAATAGATGGCACTGAGAATACATAAAATTCCCTACAAACAATTAAGAATATGACATACAATCAAATAGAAAAATAGGCAAAATGGATGAACAGTCATTCATTCATATGTTTCGCATGCATTTATTGCTTCATCAGATGAAGTAAAATCAGATTTCAGAGTAAAATGTATTATATATACATATTAAGAGTAAAAATTTAAGAAAATAGGCAAAATTGAACAGAATCATCATCTGATGAGACTCAGTAAATCTACATATATACAGCCTATCCTGTGTCAAAGGTAAACAAAGCCGGACATCAGTTAAAGCAGTGAAAACCGATTTTCTCACTAACTGAAGTCAGGAGGGAAATGAGCTGAGCTCTGTTCCAATTTGCACAGAGCTGACGGGGTGTTTTAAAGGGAGGAGGAGGGCAGAGGAGCAGGCAGGACTCCAGCAGAGCAGGGCAGTGAGCAATGACGGCGGTGGCCAGAGTACATGTGATCAGGCCAGCGGCGTCTGCCAGCTGGCAGTTCTCAAAGTCAGGATTCCGTCCTCCCACCAAGAGTGGGAAACAGAGGCCCTATCCTTCCTGAAAATGATGTCTCAAGGGAATGCCTTCCAGGTCCTTGAGAAAGACACTCCTGAGTTGCAGGAGATATGTAAACATCTCAAAGGGACAGAGGAAAGATGCAGAAGCAAAGCCCTTTTAAGGAAATGCTCTGAGGAGGGGAGGTCAGGTCCTCTCTCCGTGTTGGCTCGTAAGTTCTCCCGGCAGTGTCCAGCTTCGTCAGGCAGGCATTTCCGTGGCCTGAAGCTGACAGAAGCCGTGTGAGAGTTTGGTCAGGTCTTTCAGGGCAGGATTTGGACAGAGTTGAATGCCGAGAGTTCAGCAATTCTCAGTTCCTTCTTTTATTTAAGAGAAAGAGCAGATCTCTTTCTCATAGAACTATCACTTGTCATACCAAGGTCCTCGAGAAGAGTCCAGTTGTTGCTTCCAACCTCTGTGTGATTCAGCAGTCAAGGCCATGGACGAGATGAGCAAGGAGGCCCGTGCTTTTGGCAGTGGCAGCACAATTGTCCCACAAGGGCGATGATGCACTTAAGAGAGGAAAATGTGACTTTGAGGACCAAAATAAAGAAGCTGAGTCCCTTATAGAGTCCCCTAAGCCGTCTAGTAAGTGGAGGAAGCCACTTAAAAAGAGAGTCAAGTCAATCTTTCCCTTGAGGGGTGTAAGCTGCTTCTCAGGCATGAGCCTCCGCTACGAATATTTTTTGATACCTTTCCTCTTGACTGTCATTTACAAATATGCAGCATGGAGCACCCACTAATCACAAGCAGATCCCTGAGATGCCAGCAGGTGGTCTGAGGCTAGCCCAGGACATCATCTTCTCCTGCCCTTGGACACTGGCACTCCTGGGTCTTCAGACTCAAACTGGGATTGACACCACTGACTCCACTGGCTCTCAAGCCTTCTTCAGGTTGGACCAGAACCATGACACTGGCTTTCCTGAGCCTCCAGCTTGCAGACTATAGATCAGGGGACTTCTCAGCCTCCACGGTAACATGAGCCAACCCCTCATAACGAATCTCTTTCTCTACATCTATGTATATCCTTGTGGTTCTGTTTCTCTGAAGAACCCTGATTAATATAAATTTGGGTACCAAGAGTGGTTCTAGAGGAACAGAATTTTGAGTTTCCTGAATTGGTTCTGGGGTTTCTGGAACTGGCTCTCTAATCTGATTAGACTTAAAGATGCTAATGACTCTACTTTCCAGTGGTAAAGAGCGCACTGATAGTCTAAGGCATGACCTGTTTATAGAGATACCCAAAACATCTCCACTGAACACTCTTAATCAGCCACTTACAAGAGGTAAGGAGCTAAGTGACTCTGTATAGGACACTTTCAAGCATTTTCAGAAAGCTAAGGAATAGATAATGTTGGTTGCTTGCTCCTAACGTTACTGGACAAAGTGGTGAAAGAAAAGGCTGAGCTCAGGGATTTGAATTCCCAGCTCACATAAACGACCTAAGAGCTTCTCTGTAGGCCCTGAAAGAGACCTTATCTTCTGCAGACACAGGGCTGAAACTGCTGAAAATCAAATGCAGAACCTCATCCTGTGATTGGCTGAATTACAAGGCAAGTTGAACTCCCAGCCTCACAGGGTGTCTACTGTTAAAGCCAGGACACTGACTGAGAAAGAATGGGGTCCTATAGTTTGACGTGGGGACGTGTGGGACAACCTTGATGAAAATGGGGACATTGAGACTAAATT